CATCAAGTTTGTCACGCGAAAAACTGCATTTTCCATATCTAAACTACTCTTTCTGTGGTACTGTAAATTATCGATATATTATACGTTACCAATAGATCGCTTGGTTGCCGACAGACTCGTTGGTTATTGGTAGATCGGCTGGTCGTCGGGAGACCGGTCGATCGCTGGTAGACTGATCAATTGCCAGTAGACCAGTTAGCCCGATCTGGTCCGACTTTTTCAGACCGGTTCTATCTCCGCACCACCTCTTTCGGTACTCCTATGTGAAAAGATTCATACGATGCAATCTTGGTTTTTTTGTATCAGTAAAAGTTAATTGTAAAGAATTGAAACTCTCGAAGAATTTGAATTTGTTTAGATAATATGGTGAAATATGGCTTCTTCTTCAATCTCATCGTGGAAACGTCGTCTTCTTTCGTCGGGAGAAAAAGAAAACGATAACAACAACGATAGTTCGAAGACGAAATACTTGATGATCAACAAAAACATCCACTTGAAATAATCGAACAATTCTGTACACTGTAAATTTTTTTAAATTCTACTATTTGAAAAATCGATTTGATATAAGCTGAAGTATTTTTGAGGTTTTATGGATCATTCGACGAATTTTCAGTACCTCAAAAATGCTTGATTTTCCAGTTTACAGAGATTGAATTTGATTTTCGAAAAAAATCATTTTCTACAAAGTAAAACATCAACATTGATTTTAATAAAACTCGAAAATCAATGCCGATTTGAAAAATCATTTGAACAATGATCGCTATCAAGCCATTGTTCATTCACGTATATAAGCCGGTCGATAGTGTTTTTCATTCGCTATATTCTTCAGCAGCTAACTAATGAGTTGATAACTTGTATTTTTAAAGTTGCTCTTTAAGTCAGTTCATTTAGTACGTATTTAAATTAAAATTATTTATTTGTTATTTAGTGCATTTTTATGAATTACATCTCTATAATATTATATAAATTCAAATTTAAATTATTTATTTATATTATTTTGATGCATATATATGAATTAAATGTTTAAAATATTATTCAATTTAAATTCATACTATTTATTCATGTTATTTGGTGCTTTTAGATGAATTAAATATTTATACCATTATTTAAATTTGAATTAAAATTATTTACTCATGTTATTTAGTGCATTTTTATGAATTAAATGTTTCAAATATTATTTAAGTTTCAATTTAAGTTGATTGTTCATTTTATTTGATGCATTCTTATGAATTAAATTCTTATGATATTATTTAATTTAAATTCAAATTATTTATTCATGTTATTTGGTAGATTTATATGACTTAATTATTTATTATATGATTTCAATTTCAATTAAAATTATTTGTTTGTTATTATATGAATTTTACGTTCATATATAAAAATAAAATTCGATTTTCGAGTTTTTAAAAAATACTCGAATTGCTGAATAGAATCCGAAATTCTAGGAATGTCTATATGAATGCACTTGTGATTTTTTATTATAAAATCAAATTTCTTATTCTTAATGTTTCAAATATCTTATTTTCAAAGAATTTAAAATTCATCAGTGAGTTCATATGGGCACTCCTAAAATATCTTTGACTAAACTCTATAACTTATTTTCTAGTTTACAGTGTATGAATTCGTCAGAAATATTTTGCAGACGACAGTTAATTGCAATTAACTTTAGTTTTACAAGCTGTTTTTAACGATTTCATAAAAGTCAGAGTAATCACTGTTTCATAAGAATTTTTTTAATTAGTTTACAAAAATTGAACTGATTGTTGTCTCATAGGATGTTTTTGAGGAGTTTATGTGAAGATTACAAATTTATTGTGCGAGTTTTTCCTCTTTTTTCTCATTTTATTTGATTTATGAATGTGTGACAAATATAAATCATACACTGTTCGAAGGAGAAGAAAACTTCCTGTCAATTGATAAAAAAGTTATCATGCTAACACGTGTTTAAAGAAGAGATACAATACCTGATATTTTGTGTCGTCATTGTGAAATATACGAAAAGTGCGAAATTATTGTTTGGGCGTCTCTTTTTCTTTTCAGCCCATTCTCTTTATAAGTGACTGATAAAAATAAGTTATATATGGTTCGAAAGAGAACAAAACTTCCTATCGATTGCTAAAAGAATTTTCTTTGCAGAACCTTGTGTATAGAAAAATATAAAGATCGATATTTTATGCCGGTACTCTTGCATCGAACGTTATTGTTTTTAGTGAGCCATAATTTATCGATGATAATATATTTGCGCGTATAACTTGGTATATGACGTCAAAAGAAATGAGGAAAAAAACATGACATATCGATGGGCGTGACTGCATCTATTATTAATGCAACTAATATAAATACACTAATCATTTCTTCACCATTACATTTTATATAGAAAGTGTATGTAATTATGTTTATGCTCATAAAACGCTTTTTATTTATCTTTTGTGTTGCACTTATCATTGGATGTGCACCTACAGGCATCCATCAACCTTCGAATCCGAAATCATGCTCGCCTGGTAAATGTCCTTCATTGAATCTCTGTCGCAATTCATGTCCTCCCGGTTGTGGACCTCCCTGTGCATCCGTCGAGTGTGTCAACCACACATGCAAGTATACTCAACCGTGCTCGGTTTGTCAATGCAAAAATTCCAGTCAATGCATACATTCGAACTTATGTGCACTTTGTGTAAAGGGTTTGGTACCATTTTGTGCTCAATCAGTGTGCATGAATGGAGGCTGTCACCCAATTGCTCCTTGCTCGCAAAATGTCACTCTCTATTGTAACAAAACTGAACCATGCTTTCATCCTAAGTACTGTGAAAACAAATGTCCCCCGTATAAATATCCACTTTGCGCCAGTTCCACGTGTGTACATGGTAAATGCGTTCTAATACCTCCGTGCTCACGCTGTTATTACTGGAGAGGTAATGGACGACGCCTTACACATATTTAACTTTTTTTTATTTGTTTAATTAAAATCTATTTTTAAACTACAAACAAGAATGTTGATTTTCAGTGTTGAAAGAAAGTAAGGCGGTTGAGTGAACGTTTAGTATTGGATCTATAATAAAGAACTTGAACAATGTTGTTATAGTGATGTCTCATGTGTACATATTCACTATTGTGTGTTATTCTCTATCTTCTTTTATCTCTCTTTGATCTTTAACTGTTCTCTCTCGTCTTTCCTGTTCTTTATATCTATTCGTGTATATCATATATGTATTTTTTTTTTATTATTACTAGCATTCTTTAGCACTATGACCATGTCGGTCCTAAAGAGACAATTGAGCTTTAGGACTATAGGCACCAATAGTGAACTGAATTAAAACAAAACAAAAAGGAAAAAAGAAGAAAAATAAAACAAAAAAATAAAAAAAAGAAAGAATACTAGTGTGAAGCAAAAAAATGCGGTATAAAGAGAGAAAAACAACAATACAATAATGGCGAAAATACTATGTTTTATAGAGATGAGTAATACGTATATATATATATATGTATTTTCCCTTTCTCTTCACAATCCTCAATCCACGTTGTTTTTTTTCTTTTTTTCTCTGAGTCTCTTTTCCTCTCTCCTTGTTATTCTTCTCTTTTTTTTTGTCAGTGTGAATAAAATCGACTGTGTAGAAACTTTTTGGAAATAAAACAAAGCATAAAAATTCTTCATTGTACATTACTACAGAATCTGAAGTTTCATGGGTTGTTGTTAAGGTGCACCTAGCTTTTAATTTTTCTCATCCCTTCTTTTTTAGATAAAACACGTTAATGATTGTACACACCAAAGAAAAACTAAAAGACGCGTCATCCATATAAATAAAAGACAAAAAAAAGAATAAAGAGCAGAGAGAAGGAGAACAAAGAAAATAGAAAGAGGTGAATAAGGAGAAGAAGGGACGAAGAAGGTATATAACAGGAATAATATGATCTCGTGTTATCAACACGAATTATAACACTCTCTCCACATGCGCAAAAAAACGATGTTCCATCTGTTTGTTTTTTGAAAAAGATGTGAACGAAACAATGAACAAAGAAATGAGAGACAGCAAATAATACCAAGAAAGAAAAGACAAGAACAAAAACAACTGTGGAATAATGACGGGAAGCAGAGAAAGAAAAAACTCTTGTTGTACAACATATTATTGTCCGAAAAACCATAGAAATATTTCAGTTGTTCTAAATATAAATATGTCTGAAAAGACAACTTGAGAAGATATAATAACAAAATGAATAGGACAATGTATCATGATAAAATAGAAGTAAAATGGCTATATCAGAAAGAAAATGCTTTTCCAATAAATGTAAGTTGAATAGATAAAATGGATAGTTTAATATCTAACAAAAAAAAACATATCAATAACACTTGTTTCACCAAGTAGAGTACTAATTTAGATGAAATTGAAATCTATTTGCAAGAGAAAAAAATAACCAAATATAAAGAATAATATCTGAAGTAGAATAAACCGGGTTAAACATTAGTCACAATAAAATTATTCGGATTTCATATTAAATAATAGAATTTTTGAAATGTGTTAGATGTCATTAAGAATATAATATATATCAGCATGGCCATTACTAATAAATATTTATTCTTCAATACCATACGAAATTTAAGGTCATCTTGTCCAGCAAGAATATTCTAATATATGATGATGATGAACCCATAGAAATACGATAATTTAACATAATTAAAATATTTCAATATTATAATATGTTTAATTGTTGATTCATTAAACATTTCAAGATGTAAAATCATTTGATGATGGTGAATTAGTTGTTGGTGAATATGAGAAAGTATCTGTTGCCGTAAGTTCTTCAGCAATTTTAACTTATTATAAAAATACTAGTGTAGTTTTTGAATAATTTCTTCTGGTTTCAATAGATACTAATGGACAAAGACTATTCATTAGATAATGAACTTTTGTAGATTCGTTTATTTGTGGATCAGCTTATTAAATTCATTCCATGATTTCAGCATAATATTGAATTACTGATTGATGAACTGTTTGTCGATATTGTTTTCAATTTGTAAATGCTAAATCACGTTGTAGAATTGAGGTAAATGATTGAGCTATTTCATTGATAAATATTGACCAAGATCTTAATTGGGCTGGATATTGTTTAAACCATTCATGTGCTTCACCTTTAAGATATATGTGAATCAAATTTAATTTACCTGAATCACATAAATTCATGATTTTAAATTGTTATTCAATTTCATCAAACCATGTAATTATATTATCTTTTTCACCAGAAAATTTAGTCGGATCTTTAATGAATCTATCAACTACTGCTTTAGAAATTGTTGGTGATAAGATAGAATTGAATACATGCTTAGAATTCGAATCAGTTGATGTTTCATGATAACAAACAACTGATGGAGGGTTATCATTTGGACAATTCAATGTATTACCTGTTAAATTATCATTAATAACAACAGTTGAATTTAATAATAAAGATTTATTTTTTTTTTGTTGCATAAAAATACTACGATGAGGAGATTTTTCTAATTGAAAATATTCAAGAGCACATAATCGACAAAGCTCAGTATAACATTTTATTTTATCTTTATGTAAACTATACCAAATAATTGCATCGTCTATAAAAAAAAATATAGAATAATTTGAATTCTATCACGAAAAGACAAATTAAGTTCAAAAAATTTTGTATCAAGTTGAATGAACCATTGACGAGCATTTCCACCACCAGATAATGGGGCTATATGTTGGCCAAATAAATATAATAATGATGGTTTATCATGAGGATTTGTTTCATGATGTTTATTAAATTCATATGATTTATTATTACCAATAGGTTTTGTTAATAATAGTGATGATGAATCATTATCCGTGAAACGAGGTTTTTTTAATAGATGATTTTCGTATTCATCGATTAAATCTGGACAATCTACATTTTGCTTGAGTTCCCAAATATTTTGTTCTTCAGGATAACCTTTCTATGAAAGTAAATATTCCTTTCGACCATTTCGAAAATGATGATCAAGAATACGTTCAACAATCAATTTTTTTTCATCTGCATCATCACAAAAGATTTGTTGTTTTTCTTCACTAATACTATTCATTGTATATCGATGTCTAATTGTCTTGAAGCTTTATCGAAATCATAAGTCCCCTTAACTGAAGCATTTGATGAATGACAGTTGAACAGAAAAATAGTTTGAAGAAAATTATTGAATTCTTAAGATCGTGCAAAAACACGTCTCAACATGATCACAAATGACAAATGTACCATCGATTTATGTCATTATATCTGGTGTTGAAAGTTTACAATTAAGTTTACCATTGATGTCAAATGATATAAAATTATCAAATAAAATGGTAAGAATTGTTAATATTTTCCATTTGAACTGGACTATAATAGATTACTTATTTTGCCACTGTAGGGTATTGGTGTGGGTGTGGAATGATACTTAGTTTCTTCAATGCTTAGATCCACACCTACACCCGTCCATCTTTTAACATGATTTTATTTTATTAGATTCTTAAATGATTTTCATCATCTCTTTTCAAACAGCAATTGTAAAAATTTAAAGTTTATCTAGACAAATATCAGTTACTATTCCATTTTAAGTCGTCTGATCAAGCTAATGATCATATTATTTTTCGCAATCTTCATACAATTTGTACCGAGTTCATTGCTTGCTGTCAAACAAATCTATTTTCGTTTGGCTAGAAAACACAATTTTAGTACATATGACGAAGCAAGAAGCCAACACATGTATCCATAGGTATATATCCATGTATATATTTGAATGATCCATTCCACTGATGAACAAGAAATGTGCCCCAAGAAATTATCTACATCGAAGTTTGGTAACACATTCAAAGATGATCACAATGAACAACAAGGTAATATGTAAAGAATATTTCTTTTGAAAACCACAAGTAAACAATCAAATTCTCCGTAGTCAGATTACTGGATTTACTCGAAGAAATATTGTTTAGCATTTTCAATAAACTCAAATCTACCGATACACTTTATTCCATGACTGGTATTAATATGCGACTCGGTCGACCAGTACACTACTATATAATAGCGTAACCAGAATATTGCTGATGGTAGGACTCGCGGAGGCTTTGTCTATTGGACATCGCCCAATGCAGATTTCATTCTTCCAAAATCACTGGTATTAGCTATCTGATGATGGAGCTCAATAGTTCGGTGAGGATACTCAGCTCTCCCGGATCAATGTTAGTTATGCTACTATTACTAATTCACATAAAAGATCCTCAATTGACACGATTTGATTGGTCTATCACTTATGTTGTATCATTGTTATACAGTGGCAGAACAAACCTATGTGTTTTCCATTCTAATTGTTATTTTTATCATTCAAACTTCTACTTTAGTCAAGCTTAAAATCGTTAAAAAGAACTTTGAATAAATTCTCGATTAGTTGTGCAATTTTTGTTGGAGAAGATGTCTCTTAAACTATCAACAGTTATCTTTCATACATATGTTAAGAATCACATGTTAAAATTAGTTGGAACAAGAGAAAATATTAGTCAAAACTTTGCTCAACGTATTATTTATTTATGAACTAATAATTTTCGTTTGATACCATTTAAAAAGATTTGATTTTCTTGATAGCCGATACGCATAAGCAAATCTTGGTAAAATTCAACGATGGTAATTATTATTGTTTCAATAAATGCTGATACATAGTTCTGTCAGTGGTTATATTAGTTGTTATGTCTAGGATGTGAAAGTATATTTTTTTGGTCTACCTTTGATATGAAATGATATATTATTCTGACTCCAATAATCATTCATTATCTTATTTTCTGATTGGTAGTATGCATGAAAGAGGGAGAGAGAAAGTCGTAAGAAATGATCAATTCAAACCGAATTCATAACGCAGAATTTGAAAGTATAGATGGCATTGGTTTCTTATTATCCTATTATATGAGTATCTTTCATTGGTGATCAAACTATGAGAAAAGAAGACGGTACACATGTGGTACTTGATTGATTTCTTTTTCATTTTTCACATCATCGACGATTGTTGAAAAGCACCCGAACGAATACAAGCCTCAAGCTGTCATGTTTTTACGTGCACCTTGCAAAATCAATTTAACATTGGATGTATTTGACAAGAAGGAACGCACTGATGGTTATCATAATCTTGATTCACTGGTTGTGCCGTTTAGTGAGCCGGCTGATGAACTGCACATTCACATGAAACCTGCTTCGGAGAGGACATCTATTATAATAACTTGTAATGATTCACATCTATCCGTTGACAATCGAAATTTAGCGTATCGAGCCGCTGATGCTTACCTTGCGTATATCAACAAACCATTTCATGTCAAAATCGATCTATACAAGCATATACCAACTGAAGCAGGCTTAGGTGGTGGAAGTAGTGATGCAACTGCAGTTTTACGAGCGTTAAATGCTTATTTTAATCAAGCAGTTGATCGATCAGCACTAACATTAATGGCAGCTCGTCTCAGCTCTGATGTACCATTATTTTTGGCAGAAAAAACAGTGCGTATGCGCGGGCGTGGTGATATTATTGAACTACTAGATTTTGAATTACCTGTGTTCTGAGGTGTCATTGTGCCTCCAGTAACAGGAGTGTCAACTGCACGTGCATATGCCCTTCTTGATGCAATGCCAAATCGACAACCTGGAACTAGTACTGAACGACTTCTTTCTCATCTACGTCACAAGAAACAAACGTCAATGAACGTTAGTGAGCTTTTAGCAATGGGTCTATCTAATGATTTTGAATCTGTTGTACTTGTTGCTTATCCTGATGTTGCTAGAGCATATGAAATGATTGTATCTGCAGGCGCTTTACGTGCTCTTTTATGTGGAAGTGGTTCGGCTATTTTTGGTCTCGCTCGAGACCTTCAACATGCTAATGAGTTAGCAGACACATTGGCTATTCATTTCTCTTCTATAACAATCGTTTCAAATGCCTCTAATGATGCATATCACATCAAACAGCTTTAACAAATTAAATATATTATTTTCTTCTAGATCAATCTTACTTGAGAAACGTACAGGTTACCTATTTCGACAGTACCTGTTTTTCTTTTTAACGTCCTTCCGTCAGACTCGTAATCAATATTTAAAAACAAAGGTATGTATCTAAACGTACTATTGTATTGTTTGCTTAATAAGTAGAATATTGACAGAATGACAAGCGACATCTTATCGTGGAGTGGGAAAAAACAAATACTCTTGATGATATTGCTCTTGTAAATGTATGTGTAAAAAAATGCAGCTGTTTCGTTTCGTCAACATGATACGAACATTGACTGAATCAATGAGTAATTTCAATAGGGTTTAAGAAAAAAAAACAATTTAGTCGCGATCGTATGAGATGAATCACTTCTGTATATTTTCACTCGTTTCCAAGTTTCATTGAAGAAAAACAAATGAATGGATCTTTGTGAAATATTTTTAATTTTGTAATAGTAAACACATTCATTTTTCATACTTTGTTAATTATTATGAAGCTATTAGTATAGAAAACATCCTAAAATGTTTTTGCTTCTATTGTGTTTTATATCAATTTTTCAGCTCACGAATTAGAAAAAAATTTTCGAAAAACTCTCATATATTATAAAATGCTAATGTATACATGAAAGATTACTGGTTTTTATTAGTAATAATAAAGAAAAAATAATAATAAATTGTATAATTTTAGTCATAATATGACCTCGAAACAAACACGAGTAGGCATGGGTTTGGATGCTCATCGTTTTCTTCCTACGAAAAATGGTTCTTCAAACAAAATTATGTTGTGTGGAGTTGAAGTTCCTGCAACATTTGATATTGACGCCAATTCAGATGGAGATGTAGGACTTCATGCTCTTGTAGATGCCTTACTTGGTTCAGTGGCTGCTGGTGATATTGGCATGCATTTTGCTCCTGACGATAAACAATGGGCAGGAGCCAAGTCAAGTATATTTCTTAAACATGCACTGATGATAGTACATGAGAAAGGCGGCGAATTGGTTAATATTGACATTACGATTATTGCTGAAAAGCTTTACATTACTCCTTATCGACAAATTATGCGTGAAAAGCTCAGCGAATTGTTGGCTCTTGATATCGAACGTGTTAGTGTAAAAGTAACAACAACAGAAAAAATGGGCTTCATTGGACGAGAAGAAGGCATTGCTGCTCAAGCTATTGTTAGTGTTCTTGTTTAACTATATTTAATATAATAAAATAAATCAATATTTACCACAACAATGAAAATATATGTTTGTAATAAGATAGAAAAGGAATGTAAGATTCACTGGAAACCAATACTAGGACATCTGAAAAAAATGTAGTGTCTTGATATGAACTAAACATAATTGTTGATTGTTCTAAATAGAATATGCATATCTATTGGCAAATATTGTCGTTGATGGAACATTTGCAAGGAACATATATGAATTTCTTCTAACACAATTCTACAACATACTAAAATATAACTATACCTAAGTTATCTGCATTATAATTCATTTTTTTCCTTATATTCACATCTTATTCGATTGTAATCACTCAATTGAACAATATGATTATGCACATGAAATATACATTAGAAAAATGAGAGAGTACCATTTGGTAGAAGTGTATACTCTTGATTTAGTCATTAGATACTTTTGGTTGATTTTTGTCAAAGGCATATCATTTCTTTTGAAGAAGTAAAGTTGACATCACTTTCAAGATTCTTCATTCCTAAATCACGTAATAAAATTCACTGTTATCTTTTGAAACAAGAAAAATTATTACATAGTCATATTAATTTTGGCCAGCAGGCGTCCAACAAGATCTCTTGATAGATTGAGTTCCTGATTATCAGATGGCAGCCTGAGTTCTTGAATGGTAACTGCTTTTTTGGCGTATTCAAGTGCTACATTATAATCTTTGCGCTCTTCAAATAGCAAGCCGATCTGAAAGCATGTACGAGCCACATATGGATGATTTGGAGCTAGTAGAGCCTTTCGCATTTTGAGGGCTTACTGATAAGAAACAAGTGCCTTATCGTTACCACCCATCGCACGATGTACTAAACCCAAATTATGATAAGTTTGGGCATGGCGAGGATGATCCACTGGCATTTTCTGCTTGTAAATGGGCAATGCTTTATTGAGCATTTGTAATGCTCGTTCATATTGTTGTTCAAGATAGTAAGCATAACTAAGTCGATTAAAGTGGAATATTGTTTCAGTATTATAGTTTTGTGAAACAAGGTTATAACAAATACTAGCTTGTTCCAGTACACATACTGCTCGTTTTGAATCGTTCAATTTCAAGTAAACAGTACCAAGACTAGCTAATGTCATACCATATTCATAAGTATTGTAAGGCAAACCACGTCGTTGTAATAGTTTAGCACATCGAAAATAATAAATAGCTTGTTGATGTTTACTCAAAAATCGATACATGCGAGCCAATTGATAATGTATATTGGGTCGATCTTCGTGTTCAATAGGTAAAACTCGTAGAAGACGCTGAAAATATTTTATTGCTAGTGAATATTCGCTTAGATAAGCTAGCATACGACAAAATAAAATTGTAGCATTTGTTTTAGAGAGTCGCTCACGTATATGTGAATCAAATTCATGATTTAGTTGTACCACTTGATTTGAAACTGTCATGTGAATATTCCACATATAATTTTGATCATCATAGAAGATAGTCGTAATAATAAACGTAGTGCCAAGATCAAATAGGAATTCCTTCTCGTCTGGTATTTAACTTTCATTACTTATATCAGCAACAACAACATCGTGTGATTGATTTATGTCAATATCGATTTTAAATAGAACGAATTGTTCAGGATTGTTACGATTTCGATTGGTCTGTGTATCGACTCCTTGATCAGAACTTATAAAAGACAACGCAACTTCAGGAAAACGTGACGAAGAAAGAAAGCTATTAGTAGAGACAAGTGCGCCGACATGTAATTGTTCAACTTTATCTCGATGAAGTATTGTGCCACGATAAGCAGAAATAGGTGTTGAATGAGAGTGTCGTCCTTGAGCAAGACTTTCACACAGATCAAAAATAAAATAGCGAAATAGATATAGAGAATGTACATTTTTTGAACGCAATGTTTTGTTAACTAAAGTTGAAAGAAAACATGGTTTGATATACCAACGTATAGTATCGCAGGCTCGATATATTCTTTCAAATTCTATAATCTTCTTCATTTGAAAAAGATTGCCATTATAATATTTTCGGCATTCTCATAACATTTGTCGTTTGGCTTCTAGTGAATTATGGAGGCATGGTCACAAGAAGCACTAAAAAAAATTATCATATAAGTTAATAACAAACTACTAATATATTAATAGATACTAACCTCGAAATGTTTGAGTCCAAACAAACGAGCTTAGTTTTCGTCGTAAATCTCGCAGAGCATTTTCTGGTGAACTGCACATGTTGAATAGACCGCCATCTTTTAAACTATTTTTTGCTTCAATAATATGCTGTTGTAAACTTGTAGATAGTGATTCCCATTCATAGAAACTTTTAATTAGTTTAGTACTAGTTCCACTTGAACACTTACTACCATTATTGTTATGCATTTTATATTGAACATCATCATTGTTAGAAGAATAGAGAATAAAAATGGCCTTCAATTATTCACACTGGTCAAGTTGCGAGATCATAGTTTCTATATTATCCTTATCAAATCCATAGAATAGAAGAATTACATATTTTTGTCGAGAGGCTTTTTTAAAATATTTTATACATTGTGATAAGTTTGTATAACGAAAAACGAAGCAATCACTCAAAAAACTGAGGTGTAAATTTTTGTCGTCCGAATATAAATGTGTTAAAGAATTCTCCATTATAATAAGAGAAACATCTCGACCTATGGATAGTATTCTACGTAATTTAGAATTGGAAATATTCTTCAGATTATTCATGTAATCCATGGCTAAATGATGATTCGAATCTGATGAGTTTATTTTAACAGGTCATTGCATTAATTTTAGACAGAATCAGCTTTTTTTGATTTTATATAGAGTTCAAAAAAATGTTTTACTTACATTAATATATGAAGCTACCATTATAAAGTATCGGAAGAAATCGACGAAATTCTTCTAATTACTCTCCAATTAGTCTCGAAAGAATAAATATCAATATAGCTACTAGTAATGCTTTAAGGTTTCTGTAATCTTATCATAAATTCAGGATTAAATATGTGCTTTAGATACCTATAAATAAAGATACATTCCAAATTTTTCGCGTTCGTTTGAATGTTTACAGTTGATCTATAATCAAAAATTAATCAATGAAAATTTTCATACATAGTATTGTCTTTGAATCCAAAAATGTAGAAAACCTAAGTTTTGGTTTCGATACAAAATCTATATTCTGCAAATATTTGAAATTCGCTATTCATCATTGTCTGAAGAATTTATGTGCATAATTCATTTTCGACAAATATTTACGATTGATTATAGATCAATGCGCTTATGAATATTATCTCGCTTTTTTGAAGTTTAACTTTTCAGTGTATTTTTGTACATCTAAATGATCAGTTTTGTTAAAATCTTCTTCATTGGAGTTACCAAAAACAATGATTGACTATTTTATGCATATTGTCTGTACTCGAAAAATGTTCGAAGTCTTACAGAAATGACAATGAGTTATAGATCCATAAAATCATCTAATTAGTGACAATTCAGATGAACATTTGTAGAAAAAGTAATTATCTCATCAAGTATTCAATTTTTAACTTTGTGCGAAATTCGCATGCCTTTTAGAGTAACAAATAAAACGAAAAGAATCGTCATGTGTATCATTGGTATCAGAAAAAAAAATAGGTTAGAATATATCTAAATTCCAAATAAATTAATGATGTACCGTAACTAAAATATAAAAGTAATTATTTTCAGAGAAAATGATTTTTTTTTCTAAACGTTTACCTAGAATAAACGTTTACCTAGAACAAAGACAATTAAAAAGAATATGATACTATAATGATATAACAGTTTCTTATACGGAAAAATTTCAACTCGTCACGATTTTTATTTTCTGACTTTCGTAACGAATTGACAGTACCAAAGCACGTCAAAGAGTTTTCGTAACGACAGAATCAGGGGTTCTGTAACAAATTTTACAGGGTGATCGTAACGGGTGTTTTGATATGTACCATTACACAGCTTTCGTAACGAAAAGCATGTAATTTCTGCAAACTAAGTCCAGCTGTCATCCTCATCCTTGTTACGAAATCCCTGTTGCTTCATTACGAAAGCTCTGCAACTGTTACGAACTCCCTGTATTGATCGTTACAATCGCCCTGTAAATTTTGTTACGACATCTCTGTATTTTTGGATATCCCTATTTTTGGTGTTACGAAAGATCTGATTTTTTACTTTTATTCAACTCGTCACGTGACGAGTTGAAACTTTCTCTCTTATACTTCTTTTATATAAATCATATACGTAAATAGGATGTACAGTACGAAAAAAATAGACTTTATTCACTCTCCTCCCATTCACTCTCATTTTCTGATGTTACTTTGACACTACTCTACGACACTCCCATGAGAAAAAAATTATACGCAATTCTGATGTGTGCTGATAGACAAGAGCAGAAATGAATAATATATCAACACTGAACAAATATGTTAGCAGTCAATCCATTAATATCATTTCTGATACACAGGTTGAAATATAGACTTCTCAATGCCATTATCAATGATTGCTGTACATCATTTAGTTCTGATCTTCTTTGACCTATGCCTTGTGAAGTGAAAGGTCTAGGGATCTCCTTTAGTAATTGAAAATTATTCAGTCAGTATGTATTTTGTGGAAATTCGACAAACTTCATTTATGTGATGTGATTATCGGCAACATTTATTTTCAGCGATCTTCACTGTGATGATAGAAATTATTGATTCTATTCTGAGATGACAATTGCAGAATATTTCACTATATAGGGTATATATATCCACGAAGTGAATAAAAAGAATGACTATTGAGGTGAAGATCGCTGATAAAGATCATCGAAAGAAACTTGACAAACTCTATTTCGGTGATCTTCATACACTATAAGATCCCATCCTCTACCAATATTAGGACCTTCGCGCAAGATCTGTTCCGTTTCATTGCGAAAAAAATTTAAATTATTTGATTTACGAATATTTTTTTTTAGTTGTTTTTAGTTTAAACGAAAGAGATATTACAAAACTTTTCAACAAAAAGTTGAGTGCTTTCAAAAATGATTGATTTCAATAGATTGATGACAACATTTAATGGGTAATGTGATAGTTTTTGGATAGAATATTAGTTCATTTTTTGTACTCACTTAAAATTACTCTAGATTGATGAAACAGTATGAGTTGAAATCAGACTTTTGTGCCTTTTTCGAATATGTAATCAGAAATAGGAATAGTATTTTATCTTTAATGCAGCAAATAAAGTAAAATATTGTAATTAAAACATTATTTTGTCAACATCTCAGTTCAGCATCAGGCGTTAGTAACACTACAACATATCAGAAGTTATTTCAATACAACTTCATCATCAAATAAGGGAGAAAATACAGTGCATAAAAATTGCAGAATATTATTGTATCAACTTTTATTTTCTTTTTTTTTTAAAGTAAAATACACATAAACTCGTTTGATAATGATAATGCACATATTTATCAAATGTTTTTATTTTTATTTATTAAAAACTTTGTTTTTTTTTCTAAAATATTTCATACTATGAAATTTTATATAAGTAATCGAAACGCTAGGAAGTAAATATCTTGTCGAATTGAAACCCAGCTTGCACAATAGTATATAAACATTTATTGGCATGAATTTTATGTTCAATGGAGTAAGGTGCTGAAATTAAAAAAATACGGTTCAAAAATTCATTGACTGAAGTAAACTAAGTTCCTAGAAAATTATGAATGCTGTGATTTGTGACGTAACTAAATCAAAATGAAAGTAAATGCTACTCAGATACAACACACGAATAACCAGAACAAAGATAATCTTATATATGACCCTTACAAATCGACAGCGGCTTTTTTGACGATGAGAAAAAATAGACCGCTAAGATAGAGATTCTAGACCTTGTAAACTCAACCAAGTGTCGAGAAATCAATCCTATGAAGCACAAAAGAAACATCTCATGATTTCGCTAGTGGTCTCAGATCGCTGACGATTCGTCATAGACAAAACGAAATGTTTGGATAATCAGACACTTTTGCCTATTAAGAGGGTGTACAGTTATCCTCTGATCGTACCTCATAATAGTTCTAAGAAAAATTTAAAGTAACCAAGTATTTACCCACATAGTATTTCAAATAGTTCTTCCAGTATTCATGAGTTGATAGAATATTTTAAGTCGTTCTGACAGAATGTTCTTTTCAAAGGACATTTTCTTAATGTTGTCGCAATGCGCCAATAGGTCGTTTGAAAAATAATCAAAGGGTTTCATCAGATAGATCAAACAAAATTATTATGAATAAACAAAGTTTTTAGAGTAAAAAAACATGGGTTTTAAAAAATTATGGATTTTAAATACTCTGCTATGTCATCTGACAGGCACGAAAGAGGAATTTAGTTTTTACTTTATGATTTATGAGACCATCTTAATCAGGAAATATACTGATTTTTGCATAATAAGTTTTATTAGATCTGCAA